ACCAATAATCATGAAAAATTGTTTTCTAGATTCAAAATTACTTTAGAAACGAATATTATTGACGGACACCCCTGAGAACTTCTACCATACCATATACACTGAATGAATTTGAGGTTATGTTTGCAAATAGGTACAAATAAGTTATATAGCAAACTAGGGAAATCAAACCAAGTACCGAAATTATGTATTACGAGTAGATTCAGGTAAATAAAGCATGTAGATTAATAGGTAGTTGCCTGTTTTTAAAGTTAATACATAAGAGTAACTTTAAAAATCGGGTATCATCTATGCATTTCCGGTTATAATAAGGTACTCTGTGACAGAAACTGTGTGTTATTTGTGAATGAGCCACAGATTAGAGAGAATTTTTAAACTATCGTTAACTAAAGAAAGCTTATTATTTTTGTTATGTTTCTATTATAACCATATTTTAGATTTTTAGTGTATCACACCTTATAATTTGTTTATGGAGGTGTTTGGCAAAAAAAGTATGGCAATAGACTTTATGATGTCGCCTACCATCTATAACATTTGTCTTAGCACATTTGCATGTAGTAAAAATGATAATATTCTTGTGGATATTAATACCACAGTGTAATAAAAAAATGATTTATTTTATCGATCTTTACAAAGTAGCTTTGTTTTGATGTTATATAAACAACTTCGATCAGTCTTTGGCTAAATGTTACTACATCCATAGCCATTAAAAATGATTCGTATGTATTCCAAACCAGTAAAATTAAAATTCGTTTTTAAAATGAATATATTATACAAAGGTGTCCGTTAAAATCTAATGACTGTAAAATAAAGTATAAATTACGTCAAGAATTACCTATATGTCAATATTTTTTGTACATTTGGGCCAATTTGAGCAATCTCCTCTTCTATTAATTTGTACATTAGGCGTGCGCGCGACTTTACAACGATTGTCGGGCCTGCTGTTACTAGAATAAATATAATTCCTATCCATAAATATAGCATTAGATGATTTTCCGAAACAGTAGTCATTGCTATAATAAAAAAATATGTTATGTATAATAACGATCTGATTCCACAGTTGCAACAATGTGTAGATTTAAAAAAAATACGAGCTGGCGATTGATTTGAATTAACATTTTAGTATACCTAAATTATACCTCAGTGATACCTACACATACTTTGTAAGTAAAGACAGGCGATAAGTCATTCGCCTTTATAGTTGCCACAAGGTCAAGCATATTATCACTTGCTCTCTATCACGGATGCAACTTACAAATTGATACAATGAAATTTGATTATGTTTTTTATGTATGAAACATAGATAAGATTAATTTATTTTATACTTTTAATATTGACCAATAAAAATAACTGTAAATATTATGTTCAAAACAAATTATAATATAAAAATAATGACCGAATATTGCAAATATTTAAATAATTACTGTATGAAAAGTAAAAAAACAAAACGGTAAATCTACATTCAAAATACACACATCAAAAAAGTCTGAGCAACACGCAACATTTACAGAAACTGTATGTACCATTAATTGATATTTAATTTTTTCTTCGCAAATTTAAGTAGATTAATATAAAAAAAATGTTATCGGACCATAATGGCTGATTTTAAAATTATAAACTTTTCGATTATGTTCGTAACAGTATAGTATAAATATAATTACAATAGTAAAATCGTTCAAAAGTTTAAAGGTTCACGAAAGTTTTTGTTAAATATTGATTGAATAGAATATCTATGTATGTGAAAACAAAGACTGACTGATAGATTAACCCAAAGCCGAAACCGCATACACATAAAACATAGTTTATTGGATTGTCATAACAATCATATTATTCAACGAGTATTTTAGTAGATTATTTTATTCTTATTTTTAAGCATTTTATATTAGCCCCCTTATTAATAAACGAAGAATAAGCTTGGATTTGTTACTTCATGTTTTGTCTCTGTTCATTGAATGACAAATGGCATTTGAATGATAGGAGCAAAACACGGTGTAACTAATCAAAGCTTATTCCGTTTTTATTAATAAGGGGGTAGATGCTTCATCATCATCAGCCTATTAATGTCCCCACTGCTGGAGCACAGGCCTTCCCTATGGATGGAATAGGGAGATTGGGCCATGACCCACCACGCGGGCCCAGTGCGGGTTGGTGGGTGCTAACGACTGCAGATGCAGCCGGGACCAAACGACTTAACGTGCCTTCCGAAGAACGGAGGAGCTCGAGATAGTATATTTTCGGTCACCCATCCAATGACCGACCACTGCGAAAGTTGCTTTAATTCAACGATCGCAGCGGAACGCGCTAACCACTGGCGCCATCGAGCTCCTCAGGTAGATGCTTAAACACGTTTAAAGCTAAAGAAAATATCACTAAAAAGAATTTCCACGCGGTCCAGGGCCCTATTTCACCAAGTCTACAGGATGTTACTGCCATAATGTATTTGTGGAGTAATCTATTTACTGCACCGATTTCATTAATTAAATATTCTTTACTGAATTTGCTTATACGGAATTTTTCTTTGAACGCAAAATCAGTGATATCAAAGGAGAAATTAATTCGTTCTTTATAAATTCTACAGTATAAGAACTCATGTTTTCAAATAGTTGTAATGCAAATCTGACACAGCCCTAATCTCGTGGCAAGAATTACCGTCAATTAAAACAAAACGCCTGACATTTTTATGACATAATGTCAGTGGCATATGTTGACTTGGTGAAATCATAGGGGTATAAGGAAAGAGAAAGAAGATGAGAGACGGCTAGCCTTTCTCTCTCTAATCGCGAATGCGAATTGGATGGACGCGCGATTGGATGAAAAACCTACGGATGAATACCGACCAATCACACGACTGCGCAGCGTCACAAGAGAAAGAGATAGCTTGCCGTCTCTCATCTTCTTTCTCTTTCTACTAGACTGACACTTCCACTTGTAGCAGAGTACATATCTCCCCTACTCTATTCTTATACCTCTATGGGTGAAATAGGGCCAATGTTTCAGACGGGATTCGAGTTTTGGTTTAAAGTATTCGTTAAATATTTTACTCACGAGCGAATACTTAATTCATGAGCTGCGTTTTTATGAGACGCGGTAAGAAGTTGAAATACCTCTAAAACCAGACACTTGGTTTCCTATCACGTGCACGACAATCGAAGAAGAGGAATTAAACCGTTAAAATCCATTGATAAGAAATCATGCTTGCATTGTATTATAATATCGTGCTATTCACATTTTCAATGACTTATCATTACTTACCTTTGCATGATTTAGAAATTAATTTATGGATGGGCTTTGCTAAACATTAAATGAGAGCTGACTCCGTTAACTAAAATCAGGGATTCGAGTTCCGTCTCAATTCAGACCAGTCGAGTCCCCTGATCGCCTAACGTGATTGATAATTGCTGTTGCTATCGCTTACGATTTCATTTTGTTGTTTCTGACCGCCGATGGTTTTCAAATGCCTCACGCTCTATTTTTTCTTTTGCATTGGTAATAAAAACATTATAGACAATAGACGTGAGGTATTTGAAAACCTTCGGCGGTCAGCGATAGCAATAGCAAACCCGTTAAGCGATTGCCCCCTAGCTGATTTTCTTAAGTAGGACTTTTCGTTATCCGCAACTCATTGGATCTTTATCATTCAGTTTGAAGCTATCTATGTATTTACTTATCTCCCGCATCAACGATATATAATCTTTTTAACGCAACAGGATACTTTTTGTACTTTAGACAAATGATTTTTTCAGTTTCTTTGTGTCACCTATGACATAATAATTAGAATTAAATACGTATAAGAAAATCCATTGCGGAATTTTAATGAAACACAAGCTCCGAGGTCAAGTGGATACGGCAATGGCTTACTTTGTTTTTACAATTGAACTCAGTCATGTGTGTCATGCCAAGTGTTTATACAATAAGTAACACAAACGAACGATTCTTCTTTGTTGGAAGATACATTCCTCCAGACAATACTATATATATTCGCGGTACCAGCCGCAAGCACTAATCTTGTAGCTAAAGTCACCTTTGATTTGACGCGTACGTTGCACACCTTGAAATCCTTGAATCTAGTTGCCGTAAGAATTGATTTATTTCACTGTCCATTATCTTTATTTAAAAGATCGGTGGTAATGGAAATTGGTAATAGAGATGACAGTATTGAATAATAATAGTATAATTTAATTCATTTTTTAAAATGTTATGTTAATTTATATGTAACAAAATTGAATTATTTTTTATTGTCTTTTTTTAATACAATTATGTTTATTTTATTAATTGTAATTTTAAGAACTACACTATTGCATTAGGAGTTTTTCTGTAAAAATAGCTGTATGTGTTTTCTTATAAATAAATAAATATATACTGTCAAAAATTATTGTAAGATCCAAACCAATTTATTACTTATATTTATCTTAAATTAACTGTTAAATAATTTCTCATGTTGAGAAATAGTATTATTTACCCTATAACACCCAACGATCGTAAATACCCTAGATACAACAACACGAATAAAATCATGGCCGAAACCTGTCAAAATGGTACATTGGACTCTCCTCGGAGCTCCGCAAGATGATCGCGTAGTCAAAAACAATATAAGGCTTTATTTAAACATAGAAAGTCACCTATAATGCATACTGTACAAGGTATTAAATAAAACGTATGTGCCAAAGAGTTATTTTGAAATGCAAGCTTGTAAAATTTTACGACTTATTGCTATATGAGGAAGAATCTAGACCTTATTTATATACATGTCGAAAAACGTACACACTTTTTGTACAATAAGTATTTTTTTCGCATTTTTCACGGAGCTCTGCGGCATGTTGACTTTTCAAACGTCCGCGCGTGACTGAACTAAGAAGTGTTTGAGTGGTTTTCAAGCACTTCTTGATTGGGACACATTTTGAGCGCACGGGGTGTATATAGATTTATTATTTAATATCGTTGATAAAACCCCTTTTGTTTTGTTGGTACAGCATCGATACAATAAGCAAATATTTCCAACTCACCTCCTATCTAACTGGTAGCCGTCATTTCCATCTTTCTTGGAGTCCATGGTAAGCTTGTAGTATATCTGGGCGGCGGCCTCCGATTTGTCGTGCGCGGCGTACATGAATCCATGCATCTGTTGCAGAAGATTCCAGCTCAGGCGCCACAGAGACTTGCTGATTTTCGGTGTGCATGTTACAAATCTGAAAAATATAAAAAGTAAAGAAAAATCCAATGGTGATTTAAGCATTTATCAATGTAATATAGGTACTTTTTTTACCCATATAAAACATAATATCATAACATAATAGCTAAACATCAATAAACAAATAGGTATCAACACAGTTTGCTGATTATCATCCGAAATAAGAGGCTTGATTGCTAACAAGGGCGAAATCTCATAGATGACCTTTATGTTCATACAACAGAAAGGTTGACTATGCGAAAGGACTTGGAAAGAGTCTATTTCCTTAACTAAATTCCAACCATAAATGCGTTTAATTGAACATTCTTCGCAACAAACAAGGATTCTATACCTACATATTCAACATTTTATCTGAATCTGTCGTCACTGTTGCCCTAATTAAATAACAACAAACATGCACAATTTTGCATGATAATATTATTGAACAAACATTAAACACACATTAGTGACATCACCTTATAAAATGTATATATATATATACATATATACTATGCATAATATATAGATAACGATAACGATTGTGTTTGTGAAGGACCACGCACAGGATGTCATTAGCGTGCGGTGCGGTGGATGCGGCATAAAATGACGTTAGTGAGCAGATTAGTTATTTATGCAACTTTTGTATTATTAAAACACGAATGTGGGTTTATAATGTAATATAATAGTATCGCATGAGTGTTTTAAAAACCTAATTATAACAGTTGCATACAAGACTTTATCTATACCCATGTTATGAATCCTCTATAAAAGATTCTGAAACCATGGACCGTTCAAAGAACTTAATGCATGTAAAGTTTCGGCGCTGTAGTAGAGAAGCACGAGTAAATGACAATGTTCTTTTTTTGAAAATCATAATACCCTAAATAGGGTATTAGATAGAACCCATAGGGTTTAAGATTTGTAATGTAAATTAAAATTAATAATCAATTGAAAAGCTCAATTGGTTATGATCATTACGATAACATGGAACTCGTATTACAATGTTACCTATGATATTAAATGAATTCCTTAAAGTTATCAATCTTCATCAGTCCATATTATCAGAATGCGGATTGGGCACTTTGCATGCCTTTGAATTAATTCATTTCTCAAGCATAGAGGTTTCCTCACGATGTTTCCCTTCACCGTTTGAGAGCAACCCGGGCCTCCCGATTGGGATCCGGCTACAATCCGGCGTGTTTTAAACTCAAAGCCACCGACGCTTAAGTTAAAAATAATTTAATAAATGAATAATAACTTTTGTTTGTTTCGACAGTCGTAATGAACTTATTTACTATTTACAGTATTTAATAATTAAAAAGTTAGGGGTTGACCACCCCTTATCACTTAGGTATGAAAAATAGATAGTAGCGGTTTCTCAGACCTACTGAATATGCATATAAAATTTCATAAAAATCGGTCAAGTCGTTTCGGAGGAGTATGGTAATTAACATTGTGACACGAGAATTTTATATTTAAGATACTTTTTAAACGGGAAAGGCAAGTTATGAAATGCCACTGAAATGGTTGTTTCTGGATATTGGAAAAATACACGGTAGTAATATTTATCGTAGTAAAACTATCACAGCTATCGTAGGAAAGCTATCACGGATAGGAGTAGTCTGAATTATTGGTTCTAATGTATTGTCGACCAACTTCCAACGCTAGACTTTTGGGTCTAGCTGAACCCGAAAAAGATGTTGATAAGCAGCAACTGAGTTTGGAGACAAGCTCCAGAGATTTACAGGCTACAGAAATATATATATATCTTTGTGACGTACTTATGCATATTATGATGCTTACAACTTTTTGAATCGTTACATCTCTGGAACGGTGGCTCATATGAAAAAAAAATGATACCTTTTTTAGAGATCATTTTATGATCTACAATTTTATGTAAGGTAATTTGACGACAAAACTTATCATTTATATGAAAAAAGCGAAATACCCATTTTTTACCTTTGATCCCGAGTAATTTTTATTTCTAAGTACAGAAACTATGGTTAATTGTGTAATGTTATTTTTAATTATGTTTTGAACAATTTTACTCACATCCAGCTTGATGTATATTTATGCACCTTTGAATGTCTAGATTGACCGGAGGGGCAATAGCCTAACGGGATTGCTATGGCTATCGCTTAGAATTTCATTTTGTTATTTCTGACTGCCGAAGGTTTTTTAATGCCTCACGCTCATTTTCTTTAATATTGTTATTACCAACGCAAAAGGAGATTGGCACCCAGATTACAGGTACAAAACGCTCGTATTCATCACACAAACATTTGACATTCGTTCGACCTCATTGCAGGCCACATCTTAAATGAAACCTGGCGTACATTCCACTAAACCATGGAATTTGTCAACTATAAATATAAGTAGCATTTCATAAATTTTTGTTAAACTATTTTTTTATCATCACGTGTTTTTTCGTCATAAATTCAAGAAACATATATTACTTGTCAAAGACAAACTTAGTATTTAGTAGGCCGAATTTATAAAACACTTCGTGACCTTATATGAGTTCAAGAATAATATTTTGAGTTTGTAATTACAATGTTATTGAAAAATAAAAGATATGACACGCATGTTATACTAAGTATTGCGTCAAAACCTTGACCCAATAAAACAATGCACACACAATATACTGAATGGGAGATAGGGAAGTAGTAGGTGTTGATAAAAAAGTTAGTAATTTATAGAAGTACATATTTTCGTATTTTATACAAATAGATTAATTTTAAAATGACTTTCAAGTGACCAATATTACCACGGTTTTGACTCTCAAATTATTAAGCAGCCCATAACCCATAAGAAAAGTTTATAAAAAACTTGATATACAGTCTAGGCTTTGCCAAAGGTTATTATTGGAAAGAATGTCTTTATTACGAAACAAAATGAGGTATAATCATAAAGACCATCGTGGCGTTGACTGTACAACAGCATAATTGAAAGCAATCAAAAAACATCGCCGATTAATAAATTTTAGCTCATCAATACTTTATCTTCGTTTATCAACAGCCCTTAAATATAGTAAAACATAAAGACAACAAAGTGTATGGTAATACTGGTAATATGAAAAGTGCAATGAATTTATTCATAATAATCACCCTATGTATGTTCAGCCATTATTAGTAGTTTAGGAAATATGCTTTTTAACCTTTTTTCCCGAATTTAGCCCCGACATCGGTTCTTATTATTTCTCTCAGTCTTAAATAATTGGTATTAGAACAAAATTTTAGTAAAGTTCCATAATGCTCAGGTGATTTATATTTTTTTGTGATTAGTGACACTATAGTTATTAATTATTATTTCTAAAAACCCAGAAACATTAGATAGCTGAAGAGAAAAAATAAGAAACGGGTCAAAATTGGGAAAAATATTAAAAACATCTCATAAACTACTAATAATCGCTGAACATACATAAAGTGATTCGGACAGATATACATCTTGATATAAGGCATTGAAAACAAAGGACAATGTTAAAATTGGCCTAAGAACCAACACCAATTTGGCATTTATGATAATTCTTGTATATTTTTTGCGATAAATATCAGTATTTAGATTGTGACGGACACTTCCAGTTAAGTAAGCTAAATTAAAAAGTAAAAACATAATCGGAGACAATAAATACCATTTTATGTATATAATCTATGACAGCGCTGCAAACAAAACACTCTTTCTTCCTAATGCCGGCACTTCACTTGGCTATTCGTATTTGCTATTTTAAAACATGACATCAGTCTGTCCTTTTCACTCCTTATTAAGCAGGACAAGGACAAACAGTTGTCAAGTGAAGGGCCGGCATAAAACTGGATACTCTGTGGTTGAGGTGCAGGCAGTTTGCATTCGTAGTAATCTGTGGCATTCGTGCATTCCAAAGAGTAGTATAATATACAGGAAAGTGTATACTCGTTTCGGATTACCTGTTGTTTGTTTATTTGCGATTATTTTTCCTTTAATTTAACTATTTCGGCTATCTAATATGCCATCGATGTTACCAAAGAGCAGAGAAGTTATTACCAAGTGCTAGTGAACCTGTGCCATAACATCCTGAGAGGATCATACTGTCAAATTATTCAAGAACACCTGATACACATTCATGCTGCATATTTACACAATATACATGTGATATACAAATAAAACAATATACAATATGATACAATTATGTAAAAAATACTCAATAAATAAGAAGCAAAACTACAGTTTTTAAATTATTCATGATTCTTACCTAACCAAGTTTTTCCTAATAGTTATTCTTTAAAATCGCACCGAATAAAATGAATTAGTTGTAATATTAATTCACTTCATACTGAGTTCATACTAAGTTCATACGTTGACCTATGTTTCATTGAATATTAAACATAACCTCAAAAAAGTTTTTAGTTTTCCTAATAATTGAAGTTCTCAGAAGTGTCCGTCAATAATCTTTGTTTTTACAGTCATTTACTTGCGATTTCGAACCTAGAAAATAATCTTACATGATTGTTGGTTCTTAGGCTAACTATGTATGGACGCAGAACAATGTCCTTTTCGGACGTCTCTGGATTGGCCATCTTGTATATATTTTTAGTAAATGACTAAATAATATCAAATCAGATATAATCGAAATCTATGTACAAAGACTCGATAAGATATGCATTGAAATAGGAACTAAATAAGTATCATAAGATATCATATAAAAAAACTGTTCAACGCCAATAATTTCCATTTAGAGATTATAGTTATTAAAGTGATTGTTACCATGTACCTTGTTTTTATGTGTCTCCGATATTACTGCACTGTTGTTTGTTGGTATTGTTTCGGCATTGTTTATGTATATGCATGATTTTAAATATGTAAAATTATATTACGACGGAAATAATAGTAATATGAATTTTAGTGTAATTTAAAAAATCTAGACTCTAACTGCAACTAGTTTAGCCTGCCTATGGCGTAGATTCTGGCATGATTCTCTAAACTTAAATTTGACAACAGTGTAACCTTGTCATTCTCTATACAGAATGAAAAGGAGAGACTGATGTTAAATTTAGTTATAAGATAAGAGAATCATGTTATAATTGACACCTGTTCCTATCTTACGTGGAAAATTATGAATGCATCTATTAAATATTAACGACAAATAAATAAATTAAAATAAAGTGTTATAATGCTGTTTATCCCATCACCGAATCGACATAATAAGCTGACAGTAACTCACAACAGTCCACATAGGCGATTATAAACCCCACATAAACGTAAAATGTATAACTGACCTAGTCATGAGGTTGTTGTGGCGCTTACACCTCTTTTTAAGCACGAACACATTCCCAACCACTGTGTATTGCACCGCATGCTTCTCTACTCTATCACCAACATAACTAAAAAAGCGTGATGAGTTAAGTTAATTGCGAAAGCTAATTTGAGAGCCAAATTGTAAAATTTTAAAAAGTTTAGGAAAGCCGTGTCCTACTGTTTAGGCATAAAAACAAATGTAAGATTAAAGTTAAATACAACGATTTATAGTACCCAATGTAGCAAGAGCAGACTCATCTCCGCTGGAAGTACCCGTTCACGAGCATGACGCATGAACCAGCCATCGCTTCGCTCAACCATTTTTTAGGGAATGTAACGACCCGCCTCACACTACACCGCCGCGCCGAAGAGATTTTTAAGAGAGCATGACTGCTCATAACTACATATGGAAATTAGGTTGCAAAATAGGGGAAAAAATAAGTACCAGTGTATATTATTATAAAAAACTATAAACACAACCGTAGAACTCAAGCATGTGATTACCTAAGCACTGGTGTCGACTCTGCCACTACTCTCCAAACCCAAAACCAACATCAGTGCCCCCCCTTTCACTCTATATAGAGAATGACAAGGATACACCGCTGCAAAACCAAAGTTCAGGTCTAGAGAACCATGCCAGAATCCACATCACCATTAAATCTTTATCTGAGAAACAATCATGTTCACCTACATTTAAATAAATTTATTTTTAAATTAAGTTATTAATCGTCGAATAATGCTTAATTGATAAATCTGCCGTGGTACTGTTGACATCATGCCAAAAACAATTACTCTTTATAAAACACTCCCCCGAGTTTAGTAGACCTACGGTAAAAAAATATTTACGGTTTTTGGCAGTAGGTAGTTTCTTTATAGTAATTCCATGATTAATTATTACTTCTACCAATATATTAAATTATTAAAGTGTATTTATTTAAAAATATAAATAAAAAAAACATACTCATGTACAAGTACATTATGCAAACATTCCCTTACCGGGATTAAGAGCCAGGACCTCACTGACAGCGACCATAGCGCATATGTCAGTGTTGCTGAAAAATGTTCTACGACGTAGTTTATTATAAGTCACTAAAATAAAACTAAAATTAATTAATCTAGATGCTAATGATTCATACTACACATTCTCTATTATCTGACCGTAATGACAACGGCAATTGACTTTATTAGTCGTACCGTAGCTAGTAATGATTTAAAAGAAGCGTAGACAGCCTGATTATTTTAGGAAAGGAACGAGTTGAAATAAAACTAATTACATAATAAATAGTGTTTGGGATGCGATGGGACCAAGTAGAATTCCTGTGACAGGACGCTCCACTCTTCCGAAACAATAATAGTCTGTTTAAAGAATCATGAACTTGTTATTTTTTAACAATAGAACTGTCATTTTGACAGTTTTGGTACTTTCGTTTATTTGGGTATTTTATTTCTTTTACTATATCATAAACATAGCTGTTGGATTCTTTCAGAAAGTGTAGGTCATTTAGAAATAAAAGAAAAAATGAAACTCGTAATTGATCTTTTAAAATCTAGTGTAAAAAACGAGATGTTGACACGCGAGAAGAAATATTTAGAACAGATATTATCAATTATTGGTATTTCACTATAGATTTTACCATAAAAATATTTTAATTATTATAGTTTTAAGGTTATTCATTGTAAATAATAACCGAGCCAGACAAGAAGTCGTTTTCAGTAAAGAATCTGTACAGAGTCGGCACAGAAACGAAAATGAAATGAGCCCGCACCGTGAGGAAGGCGCCTAAGAATGTAATCCGCAAGATTCGCTTCGCAAGTTCTACGTAATGCAAGGTTCACACGAAGCATTTCAATTGAACAACTTTTATCGTTTAATTGCTTTTCATCAATTTCAATGCTTCAATTTGATTGAATGTGTTCAGACGGTTGAAATCGCATGCGATTTAGCAATTGATCAACTAAAATCGCCTCTCGTAAACCCGTCATAACGCTCGCTTCTTGATGAGTTTATTTTATTTTTATACTAATCGTAATCCTCTCATTTTTCTGGGTTTACATCATTCGAAAGTCATTATTTTCGTTACTACACTGTGACTAATTTTTAATCTTCTTTCATCACTCATCACATCGCTGCAACCAGTTTTTCAATATCCAATGTTAGTATACTCCTATCAAGTCGGTTTTGAATCTTTTCCAAATACAATTAAAAATCAAAAAGTATTTGACCACATAAAATCCACAACTTATCGTTTATATCTCATAATCTACTATACTGTGTAGGTACCGATATGATGCAAATATTCCGCACTTCAATGAGCAGGCTCAAGTTTTGCAACGAAAAATGCATAGGTAATGAATGCACTTCCTGAGTTTTTATTACACGCAAGCTGTATCAACAAGTCTTGGGTATTTTAGTAACGATTGTTAAAGTTCCTTTGTGTAATTATTCGGATTCAAATCCCGTTTTTTGACGTAAATATTTTAATCCGATCTTTGTTATTGACGACGACAACCTTGAAGATTTTCGACGACCTTCTTATGATAAGAAAGTATACAACTATTGAAGTGACATTCTTTAGTACAGCTCTGATTAGGGATGTGGCAAAAAAAGCTAGAGTATCAAAAATAACTTTAAGCAAAGAAGACCTATTCTAAGTAGACGACGTACGATTCAAATTGTACGGAAACCGAGCGTGTCGTATTTTGAGTACTCACAATAACAAATTAGTAGAAAAGCATTATGAGAATAAAATTAAAAACAAAACCTCGGTTACTACCGAGCTCAAGTGATCAGATTTAAATGGTGACAGTGGTAGATGTGATGTCCATAGTTGAATGTGACAAAGTATGATAGAATATAAAAAGGAACATACCTAGATGCATAGATGTTTTCAGTAGCGCTATAGTTAAAGATTACTTTACAAATTTATTAGTGAATAGTATGTTAAGTATACTTACTTGGTGAAGGTAGCGTACATGACGTCAATGGGGACTCTGTAAGGCAGTGTGAGCACTGAAAGATATCGCATCGCACGTTGGCGCATCACCCAGTTCATTAGGCCACTGTTCGCGGAGTCTATGGCGTTTTGGAAAATTGTCATCACTGTGTCAGGTAGATCATCTACTAGTGCATCCTGTCAGAAATATATCGTGATTAAAATAGCTTAAGTGCCTTAAGTATATTATATTCTTATCTTGATCAATGAATACTGCATAGAATCTATAGATTTTTACATGTCTTAACACAATTTGAATATAATCTAAATCTTGATTTGCCTTTTTAATGTTTCAAGGTCACTAACATTATAGTAATTAAAGAAGTGAAGTGAATTGTAGCAATCCCGATAATTTACGGAACAATTAAGTAAGCTACTCTACTCAAATCTTCAATTTTAATTTAATTACACAATGGAAATCTATTAAACATCAATCTTCAAGTAAAATTCAAACTAAAAGTAAATCCCTTACATGGAATAATATTGTAAACTTAAATAGTATGTCTGCATCACTAATGATTTTAAAAGAAATAAAAACTTGAAATAGCTTATCACCAGCCGTACCCTAATATAGACAACAATCGAGACAAAACAAAAACTATACCTGTCTGTGTGTTTTGCATTCCTCACAGTCGGGATCGAAATCAAAGGTCGTGTCATCCAATACATCTTGCAGTTGGAATGTGGACTGCACGGCGAGACAGCGTGTGCAAGAGATCATATTATTCCTCTGTAGAAACCGGAGGGCGTCGTCAAAGCCCTGCTTGCACATGTTACTGAGCACTTCCGGTTTCGGGGGGAACAGAATACGAGCGAAACGGTTAATGTTTTGTTTTGATAGTTCTATGCTTGTGTTTGCTACGTTCACCTGTTGGAATTAATTGGTAGTATTACAAGAAAGCAAACAAACGTTTATAATCAAAATTAGTACCTAGGCCACATTTAATGAATGAGGATGTTGGTTGCAATAGTAAAACATGAAGATGATGATGACATTATTTAAATACTCAATCATACTAATTACCAAGTGATAATGAGTCTGATAACTATTACGATCTAAAGAAAAGTTTTACTAGAAAAAATTCCACGCGGACCAGGCAGCAGACGGGACTCGAACCCTTCGCTATCTGGGCGAATGCACTGACCATTATGCTACCACGGCCCTGACGGCCGTGTCGAATTTTCTCTAGCCTTAGGCTGCAAGGCAGCGCCATCTCTTCGCATTGTAGATAACCCACAATATCAAATGAATACTTTTACAAGTATTAAACATTTGAAAGAAGAAATAGCAATAGAATGATGATTATTTTTTTTTTCTTCGTTTATCAGGTAGATTATGAAAAAGTATTGGACACGTATTTTTTCTTTTTTCACATAATATAAACATTGCAGAGATATATTGATTTGAAAAGTCGCATGACGTCACGTTTGAGTACACTTATAAGTGAAAATTCACTCAAAAGTGACCTCACGAGCCCCTACTCCTAAACTTTGACGCGCTATAACTTTGTCATTTTTTGGTTGATTGCCCAAAGAAAAAATACGTGTCCATTATTTTTTGATTATCTAACTGACGGACTAAATAGAATTTCATTTACTGTACCCCGTCATCATCCCTATTATAGTTTTTAAAAATTAGTATAAAAAATTCTATGCGGACCAGGCAGCAGACGGGACTCGAACCCGCACACTTCGCTATCCGGGCGAATGCACTGACCATTATGCTATCGCGGCCCTGACGGCGATGTCGAATTTTCTCTAAACTGTGTAGGTTCTTCTTCAGATGGCGCTGCCTTACAGCCTAAGGCTAGAGAAAATTAAGTAAGTTACCCAGTGATCAAGTATGATTGTTGCTGGTAACAATGGGCTTGCTAATTTTTGGTGTATTACGCATTTTTGGGGCAGTGTTGTCGAGAATACAGTTTATACAGCCCTTGCAGTACCACTTGATATTTTGAAGGCCATTCACATCAAATCTAACATGCAATTTCCTATTGAGTGTGACAGTAAAACATGATAAAAAACTTGATTTAATGTATTTTGTAGTGCTGATGCTATGAGGACTGGAGTGATAAATAGGATACTTTTTATCCTGGAAAACATTGTAGGTTACTGTCAGATTCCCAAAAAACTTATATTAATGTGGCAGGCGCAAGCTAGTATCACAACAACATCATAAAAAATATAATATAATTAACTTAGTACATCCATCAGTTGTTACATCAATGTTTTTAATAACTATAACCTTCTCTCTACCTGACATTTCATTAACTAACCGACCTGAGGGTTATCTTAAATGAACAAAGGTCCTTGGACAAAGAACTATTGATAACTATTTTAGCAAATGATGATATTTTGTTTTGAGTTTAACTTGATTTGAACTTTGTACTTTTATACAAAATGAAAGATACACATCAGAGATCGAGGCACAAATTTTGAAAGCTCCATAATCATATTGTCAAAGTTTCTACGAAAACTAAGCAGCGCCCCTACACCGGATGTAAGAACAAATTGACTCCTTCCATACAACATTTGGCATTGACAATATGATTAGGGAGCTGTCAAAAATTGTTTGTTGCTTGGGCCTCAGTAAACAGGTCTAATTAAGGGTGATGTTATTGTTATTTAGCACTTACGTGAAACAGTTGTGAACTTAAGTCCCTTGGGCAAATATCACTTTCACCACAGAATGGGCTAACTGTGATTGTGTTCTCATCCAAAACAGGTAAATTATCACTGAAACCCCCATCCATGTAGCGAATGCCGTGGAACCGAGGAGGGAGTAAACCTGAGAATACTGGTACAAAACAAGATGCTAGCAGCGCCTACAACAATGATATCACTCGTTTAAATCAATACACAAGACTGCTGAACAAAAAATATGTTTATATTGTTTTAATGTTACACAAAATGCTGCAACATAATATTATATAATTTTAAATTATTAACAATACTTTCTTTATTTTCTGTAAACAAATGATTATTTTTTATTATTGATAATGAAATTTTTTGCAACATTTTTTATTTAATGTATAGCAAAACACACTTACTTGCAGAAGATCTTCCCTTGTTGGGTATTCTGATACTATCACATTTTGACCATCATACACTCTTGTCAGTGAAATGTGTAGTTTTCCGCTGACTTTTTTATGAACATCATGAGGTAAGTACTTCTCCATGCCTTCAAGAAGGACATTTTGAATACTAAATGAAGGGCTGAATGGCCCCAAAGAACCTGCTCTAGCCTCTCCTACCACCCTTAGTACATCACTTGTTATCTCACCTAAAATTAATATTTTTATTATCACTTCTATTATAACAAACTGAATTCTCTCAAAACATAAAACCATTTTAAATGATTTCTTATTGAGGAACCTAGGATACAGTTTTATATCAACATTGACAATTAGGTCTATTTGTTCTAAATCTTGGTCTATTGTTTCTATCTTTTGTTAAATACAACTAATTCTCTACAATTAAGAGGTGTAGAGCATAATAGCCTTTCGACCCAAATAAAATACCTCAAAAAAGACCTCAGAGAAAAAACACTACCTTTTGATAGTTGCATTTCTGTTAGTGAGTAAACTAAAGTTCAATAGATTTATGAAGTAGAGCATAGTAGGCAATGTGTGAGAAATACTCTAGATATTGCAAGCATTTATAGGCCATTGATTTTTGATTTCATTTGGTTGATTTTATCTTACCATCAGGCCAGTCATGATATTTACCTAGCCTATTAGGATTAAAAGAAAAAGTGATACAATTTAAAGAATTATTGAATAACCTCAAATATATTTTTAAAATTATTAATGAATAGCACAGAAAAAATAGTGCTAATTTATTTTCCATAAATAAATTATTTTCAATAAATAATTTATTTGTATTACACAAAATATATGTAACTGTTTATTATAACATAAATCAATCAGCACCACATAAAATAAAACATATTAAAGATTTAAAAGCAATATATTCCTACAAATACTATTGATAAAAAAAATAACATACCAATAGGCAAATCACAAAGAAGACAACAGGCTGATAGTGCACCGAAAGAAGCTCCAGATAATTTTCCTAATAGTAAATGTGGAGCATATTTCTTGAAACATACTGCAACTCCAACGTGGTAAATTCCAAGGAAACCACAGCCAGCAAAGGATAAGTTCATTATTGGTCACATGAATTAGTGTCACGAAAGTAAAAAAACACTATTTTGTAAATACCTGCTAACACGACACTCTTTTTATAGATCTCTTGTAATATTTAATTAGTTTTTGTATTATACACAAAGGTAAATAAATTTAAAGATAAGATTTAAGTAATCACCAAGATAAAATATTTGTATCTTAGAAAAGCAAATCAATTTTTATGTTTGATTACAAAACAAGGAAAACGTCAATCGCGGCCAATTCGAACTATTTCACTACAGTAAGAGGGTTGTAACGATACATAAATATACCGATGATATCGATACCAGAAATCGATAATTATATCAATATGTTAAATATATCGATAACGATTTTGAAATACTCAAAATATTACTATTTAGGTAGAAGGTTATAAACAATTTTTTCTTTTTACTGTTATTTCTTTCTAAATCTTATTGAAATGTAAATTGTGTGATATTATAACTAAGTCTGTACAATTGTATAAAAAAACTTTGTAGTTTTGATCCTAACTAAAATCTCAAATGACGGCTTTGATTGGGAACTTGAGATGTCGATGTTGCATGACGATAATTTTCACCCGACTGTACGATGCAAGAAATAGGTAATATACTTTTTGTAATAATCTTGGATATTTTGATGTTCTAAGTTTAGTTATTGAAGTTTCTTGCATTAACCCGTAAAAAACTAGTTTTATTTAATGAGTGATGTGCGTGAAAACCTAAGAAACAAATATTGAAGCTTTTTAAAAAGGTCCACAATCCACACACAATGCATTCAGTAAAAAGACGTTGATTTTACTAGAGAGATGACTAACTTTACTGAACTTATATACGGGAACTGTGACTATCAAAAACGTATCAGCCTTATAAAAAAGTAAACAAATAAGACATGGCTATGATGTAGGGCGTAGGGTAAGTTCCCTCTGCCTGCTGAGAGTGTGAGTGCAAAAAAGTGTAAGCCATCGTCTTGGTCATGTTCGAATTTATATTCTGCTTTGTTAGCTAAGTCAGTCAATTTCACTGACAAAAATGCCACGTAACATTTAGTTCGCGTTTACATGATCCATATACCGGAAATCAATATTTACCTGACTACGATATAATTTTATCGGTTTATATTTCCCCATAACATTAACTTGCATCACTATATCAGGGCTACGTTTAATATCTACGCTCGAGTGCACCTTTCTAATGTGACGATTCCATTTTGACTTAAATTGTATAAAGCTTACGCCAACTTTGACATTTGTTGCACCTATAGCGTAGGTTTTGGACGCAACCTAGGGGTGCGTTCAATGCCAATGCATCTACTAAAGAATGAGTTTTAGAACGGTCTCTGGAGATATTAAACTACCAAGTTAAAGCGCGGGATTTTTGAAAAATAAAGGGGCTATTTTGAATAAAATTGACACCACATAATGAAACAAACTGTTTTTTTTTTCTTTTTAAGTATTTAGACATAAAAGAGATTAAATATTTTTTACTCTCAGCTATCTTATTCGTGGAAGAGGCTCGAAATGAGCTAACCTTCTATTTATTTGTCTTTGGGTGTTTCCGTTTTACACAGAAATTTCTTATTGAACCTTCTATTTAAGGACATAAGCTAAAGGAAAGGTGCTAAAGCCGCCTGTCCCTGAAAATTTGTAGAATTTATAGTTAATTTTTCAGCCATCGGCCGCGCTGCCATCGGTAAGTAGTATCTGTGAAGTTAGCTGTTTATGAATACAAGTAGATGAAGTTAGTTGAATAACGTACGAAATTATAAAAATCGATTCATAATTTATTTATTATTAAATAATAATAATAATGATTTCGCCCTTTCCTTTTTGACGTGACAACGTCTTAAATTAGGTTGCGGCTGGGAGTCACTTATGAAAAAGTGTAACGCTCGGTAACGTTACGATGAGTCTCTCGTGTTAAGTTTAAGTTTACATGTACAATGTTTTAGTAAACAAAATATATTTCTATAGTTAAAATTTGTGCAATTCTTATTTTCATTCAATTCCTTGTTCCTATTGTGCAATTTAATTATATTCATATCAATAAATATTCTACCGAGAAAAAGACGTTGTCACGTAAAATCTTCGCCCGTAAAACCGACTTTACAGGCAACCATTTTTTTTTCTTTGAATGATATTATATACACGTATATAAACGTTGATAGATCATTTCAAATTAGCGCACAACAGCCCGCTTTTATTGAGACAACTTAACGCCATGGTTCTTACTGTGGTTGTAGAGTGTATGCACTCAGAGCGTAGGTCCCGGCCTGCGTTCAGGATCTACGCTCTGGCTGCAACTTTTTACCCAGAGGCATTGCGTGTTCCGTGCGCTTCTATATATAACAATGTACTCTATGGTGCGCTTCATCTGCCTTTTGTTCTGTAATCTGAGGTTCGCAACTTCTCAAGTCGATGCATATATATTTTTTTGATGTGTAACATCTTTTCTCTCGCTTTCCTGCAATTTGTGGGAGTAATTTCGTGAAATGGGACGGAAGTGTGTAACAGGAAGTCGCGAAAGCGCGCACTATTTGATTTGATTTTAGAAAATAATGTTTAAAAGGCTTATTCCTTTTGTAGTAGGTTTTATTCCTTTTTTTCTAATATGAGGTGAAGTTTTTAAATGTTACACATTAATACATTCAAAAAAGATTCATCCAAAATTGGAGAACCTAAAAGGTGAAGGGAATTACTGTTAACTATTTTAATATTTGGAGCCAAAATTTTTGTTTTACGTCATTTAATTTTAAGTCGCTATTATTTACAAAAAGTTCGCATTTGTTAAAATTAAGCTCCAAACCGATGGCTTCAAATTTATTTTTCATTAAAAAAAGGTCCGAAAACACAGTACCCACATCACCTCCTAAAGTTCCGTCGTCCAAATACCAAATGTCTAATTTAGAATTTAAATTTTGATATCGGATTTATAGCCAAACTAAAAATGGCAGGCCCAAGGGGATCACCCTGTTAATAACCTACCTACTTACGAGGACAGTTCATTAGAACGATATAACAATTTTGTTGGGTCAGCGTAACTGAGAAGAAGATATAAAAAAATCAAAAAACCCGACTGCTTAATTATTCTTCAAATAAAAACTGAAAAAAAAAAAACAAGTCCAGTAGTCTATAATTCTGTTAATAAGGAACAAAGCTACTTTAACAGTCGGGACCCATTAGATATTAAAGAATACATAATATTTTTTAACAATGGGACCCGACTGTTAAAGTTGCTTTGTTCCTTATTAACAGAATTATAGACTACTGGACTTGTTTTTTTCTTTTCAGTTTTTATTTGAAGAATAATTAAGCAGTCGGGTATTTTGAATTTTTTAAATTTACCTTTTTTATTTCACACTTTTTAGTTAGTATTTTAAGACGGTTTTAAACTTAGTCTTGTTACTTCAGTAAGGGAATTAATATCGCGGGAATTATTAAGTACCTTGCGTCGGTCTAAAAGATTGATTTATTAAGACATATAAAGACTTTACGAGCGGGGTCAAGGCTACAGATGGGCCTCAATTTTCGCAACGGCGACGGCTGACGGCGCCTCAACACGCTTGTTCTTTGTTACAAACGCCAAACACGTCAAAGTGCCAAACGCCGATCACAATCACCCAACACAAATAGCTGTCATCTTCTCGCGCGTCGCTGGCCTGAAGGCGTCGCGGCGTGCGTGGAAATTGTTCTGGAATTGGTCCCCTTTAGTTGTAGCGGGTTCCTCCTCACTCTTCACACCCCGCCCTCAGCGCGGTCCAGCCCACAGGGTGAGACACGTGAGGGAGGCCCAGTGAGCGACCTGCGAGCAAGCGGCGGAATTCGGTAAGGGGGATAGGACCGTCAGTATTCGGGATGAGGGTAGCATCGTTGATCAGTAATTTGTCAGTGTTGGGTTGGCCCGCCTGCATTTTATATTATTATTTTGCGTGCGGTACCGTCGTTAATCTGGTGGAAGTGGCTCGACCGGACCACTGAGCAAGTAAGACCGGACGCGGAGGTCGCGATCGGCAGCCTGGTGGCGTCTTTTCCTGTGATGGTGGTGGTAAGAGCTCACTAGGGAGCGCTCGGCTATTGCACTGTTTACAGAAGCAGTCGTGTGGTGGTAAGAGCTCCCTAGGAAGCGCTCGGCTGATGCGGTGTGTACGGGAGCGGTCGTGTGCTGGCGCAATGCGCGTGCCCTATGCTTAGTCGTCCGCTCGACCGTATATGCCGGAACAAGTTTTGTGATGAATTCATTTAGGGGCTCTGTATTGAGGTCCTTTTGCAGCGTCTTCTTCTTCACCTTCACGGTGGGTGTTTTCCGCAACTCGACACCAGGTGCCTATTTTGCGTGAGGATGGCCTTAGTCATGCCATCCCAACCTCCCCAAGAAGCTCAGCAGTCTCTTGGTGTCTCCGCAGGCCTCGATTAGCGTCTGTGTGCTGCCCAGGTGTGTCATCCGTTGTCTGGTCACGCCTTTGCACTTTAGCAGGACGTGAGTGCTCGTCTCCTCTTCCTCAACGCAGGCTCTGCACAGAGGACTGTCCGTGACACCTGTTTTAAAAAGATGTTTATTAAAGTGCCCGTGTCCTGTGAGAATGCTCACTATTTGTTTCAAAGCATGTCTTGGTAACTTGCAAAACTAACTTGGTAGCCGTGGGTCTACCTTAGGTATGGCCTCGCTGGCGTGCCTGCAGTCTGCAAGCCTAGCCCAATATTCGTTATGTTGTCGCAGGTATCGTTCCCTAATCCAACCTTGCAGCAGTCGGTACGGGATCGGTACGATTGGTTCTGGGATCTTTTGCAACGTGATATTTCTAACATAGCGGCCTGCGTTGCTTATCAAGCAATGTGATGTTTGTTTTGCTGGCCGTGTAGGCATTTTTGTTGGCCCGCCGTGTGTAATCAGAGCGTACCATGCTGCGTATGATAGTATTTGGAGTAGGTACAGCTTATAAATACCGTAAGTGAGGGTTACTTTAGCTCGAGAGGGTAACTTTGTCCCAAATCAGAAAAAATATTGTACTTGCCGCACCATCAGTATCTCTTGGGTGACCGTAAGGCGCTTTGCAGACGACGGGGCGGGGCGGGCCGGTCAATTTCGCCGCGAACGATAGCACAAAGTGAATCCTATATTACAAACGCACACAGAGGGCAAAAAGACCGCGCCGCAGGTGCCCGGCGGGCACTGGCGGCGCGGCATGTCCACGGCTGCCCGCCGTGGATCATACAAACCAGTTTATATGCAGTAACGCAGACGGCGGCACGGGGCGGTCAGCTCAGTCCACGTGCTTT